ATATATATATAGAGGGTATTTCTACAATATTCTCAACAAAAGTACTATGTTTATACCCGACATTAAGGGTTTGGGTCATATGAAAACATGTAGGTATATGTATATGCACGGACATATAAAGGAAAATGATCACAATAGGGGTTCCCTTCAATATGAATATGAGGGGGTTCTTTTTGAATGTTGGATTTGAGAAATGATCTTGTGACTCGTGATAAAGGTGACTAATTTGTTCTTATGATTTAAGAAAAAAAAAAACCTTTATTCTTAACGGACCTGACATGCCATTATAGATAGGCCGTAACAAAGACGACACCCTCTTCAAAGTCTAAATCCCTTTTACCATTCAAACCGAAAATATCCTTAGCACACTTATTCTCTTCACCATCCCCACCAGAGCAGACATTTATAATGATTGACGCAATTATCCTAACCTAGATCTTTCTTCTTCTTCCTCTCCATTTTTTTTTTTTTTGTGATTGTTGGGAATTAGGTAATGCCGAAACAGCCGGGTTTTGAACAACAGAGGGACCTGTATATGTTATACCATTACTTGAATCACTTTAATCAATTTGGGTCCGGATACCGTTCTTCTGGCATGCCCATAATCAACAATTATCTCCAAATGTTTCAGAGTTGAAGTGCTTACTATCCAAATGATAATGGTCAGTACATGCATATAATTGCCTGGCTTAGTGCGCGCTTTCTCTCTCTCTCTATCTCTACAATGTAATTGAGGCCTGTACTTGCATGAAACCTATAGCAGCTTAGCATGTTTTATTGATATCATAGTGATTTGAAAGCTTACTCCTTTTTTATTATGTTGAAATAGAAACTTTATGATGTGATATTCTCAGCTATTGTTCAAATACTTTCTGGAAGATTAGCAAGAATTTGTCATGACTTATTTAACGAATCTTCTGAAATTTGATTACTATGTAGACAAGCACATTGAACCAATGTGTGTGTGCGCGCGCGTGCACGCGAGAGAGAGAGATTCTTAAGATGGGAGCAAGAAGATGAACCATTCAAGCAAACGTTGTTCAGGAAATCTGATGTTCCGAAGAAAACATTGTTGAAGAAACCAAGTAAGAGGGAGAGAGAGCAAAACAGCCTGTCCTCATGTCACACAAGCAATACCCAGAGAGAGAGAGATTGCTAGGCAGGAGATTTGGCAAGGATGGGAACATAATCAAGGATGATGAGGTTTTCCACAGCCTCCACGAATTTTATGGCATAAGCCCTGTGTGCAGGATGAGCAACATACTCCTTCAAACCATTTGCATCAAAGAATGTAATCACAAAGACGTGTGTGAAGCCTTGGTGCCTTTTCCCTTCTTGTGCAGTTCCCCTGCAGCAAAAAGATCAAAAGAATTCAAGATAGAAAGAGCCTTATAATAGGCCAGAGGCCAGAAAGATTAAGGCCTGAGAATTTTTTGAATTGGGTCCATATCCAAACCCAGATCCTGATCCGGATCCAAAAAATATATATCGTATCCAGATCCTGTCAGATCTACAATATTCAGATCTGAATCTATGTCCAAATCTATAAATAGGATTTGGATTCAAATTTGGATTCGGATCATTTCTAATTGTGTATATTATAAAGTTAAAATATAATTATAAATTAAAATAATTATATATTATAAATACATAAATTGTAACATATATGTATATATAATAATATATATTATCCCAAAATATCAGATCCGATCAGAACCGGGTCGGATCCACCTGTAAGTGGATCCGACCATAATTACCATTCGGATCAAAATTTTGGATATGGTTTGAATTTTGGATCAAAATCTTGGATCCATACCTGGATCTAAAAAGGTTATGAATTTCGAGTTTCGGATTTGGACTAGACCAGGTAAATTCTCAGCCCTAGGAGAGTGATGTTTTATAGGAGGCCGTATTTTGGATGTAACCTCCTCCGTAAAACACTTTCATATCTATAATTGCCTGATAAAATAACATCCAAAGGTGTGGATACCATTTAATTTTGGATGGTCAAGAATTTGAGAACTTGAAAGCAATTTTTTTTAAAATGAAGCAACCATTTGCTCCTTTTGTAAAATTCAAGCGGCGTATTTTTAGGACCCCAAAATTTGGGTATGTGATCTCATACAACTAATAAGCAATTTTAAGAAAAAAATAAAAATAAATAAAAGTAAAGAAATAAAGTATACTCTTTATCTACTTTTTAAAAAATAAGATTAAATAAGGACTATCCAATTTTTGAACAATAAAATTTTAAGTATTGAAACATTCAAATCCAAAATTTTCCTTAAATAATCATCTGGCAATTCTTAAGGGGATATCAAAATTTCAGATAAAAAGAAATACCAAGTAGGTATTTTTCTTGCAGTGAGTGGCAAGTAGTCAGTGATTCTAAAGTCGATCCCAAAATACAAACTGAGACATCGCTTAAGGTGTGGTATATAATTTGACCTAATTTTCTCCGGTAGGATCACACTATGTGTACCCTTATAAGAAGTAATATGTCATCTCTCTTGCACCTAATACGAATATTAAATGTAAATACAAATTAATCAAAATATCTCCTCAAAAGTTTTGGGGGTATTTTGGTTAATTTATTTTTTCATATTATTTTTATATTTTTATTAGATTCTTCTATTTTTAAAGAATAAACGCTCAAAATTTCAAGTGATTTAAATTTATAAAAATCTGGACCGTTGGCTGATAATGTTATCTAAATAGCTTAAATGACTCTATCTTTTCATATATATACAACCCCTAGTGGGTCAGCTTCACACCTAGCTGCCCTATCGTCTAGGCGTTGGGTCATTTTTAATGAATTTTTCCTCTACTGAGAACTATTTTTCACCTTTAAGAGAAACACACTCGCCCCCTAATCCCTAAT